AAAAAAACGTTTGTATCAACAACTACTAATAAATCAAAAAATAATTAAAAAACCATTGTCCAGCGGACAAAATTGTGAATCTAAACCATTCCCAGATCCCCTTGAACACACACAAAAAAATTTATCAAAATCGGTTTTAAATTTCATCAAAGTCGTTTGAGAGAAGTTCAGTGACATACACACTCACAGAAGAATTATATAATAATTTATTTAAAAATAACAATATCTCTAAGATTCCTGTACTGATGAACAGGAGAATGTATAGATATAAATATAAGAATAGTCAGGGGTTTAGGCTTTATAAGTGGGAATAAGAAAATAAAAATATGTGTCGATGTGTGAAGGTTTTATTGATAATTAGCTGTAACTGTTTATGATATAAAGCAATTAGATTGGATTCACACTTACGTGTCAAAACAATTCGTAGGTAGTGTTTAATGTATCAATACAAAAAGACTTTCTCATGATGAAACAATACTTATTTGCACAGATTAAGATTAAAAAACAGACAGTGTGTATGTGTGTGTGTGTGTGTGTTCAGTGTGTGAATTGGTACATAATATATTTTTGTTTATAAACATTTTCAATCGAAATTTGATATTAATAACTCTATCGACAACTACATAGATGTGAGTACAAATATTTTTCAGATTCAGTGAGCGAATTTTTTATAAGAACCTTGTTTTGTTATACATATTTGATTTCAAAAATCATATAATTACAAATGTATGAAACTTTCGATAAAATTAAGTTATCTTACGAATGTATTTTTTTAATCTCATTACATATATGATACAATTTAAATTTAATTGACACATTTTTTCTAAGGAGGCATATACCTAGTTAGTTTTTAAGCGTAATTCACACTACCGTTATTAAATATCGTGATCGACATTCCAGTGTGAAGCGAGCTTAATCAGTAGTGAATCATACTCATATTGATGTCATATAACTGTGTGGATGTACGTTGATATTTATTTAATAATTTACAGTGTGTATACTCTTTATAAAATGTGTACATAGTAAGTAGTTATCATATAGTAAATTACTTAGAGTATCTTCATACTGTATATATAAACTACTATTGTGAAATTTTAAATATATGTTTGTGATACACACAAAAAAAAAATAAAGAATTTTCATACAAATAGAGAAACTATTCTAATAATAAAACTGCCACATACTTAAAGATTTGAGTGACAGTGGTGGCCCAGTGGTTAAAGCGCCCGCCTCTCGTTGCCGAGGGCGCGGGTTCGATCCTAACCCGGGCGAGTACCAATGTGATTTTTCCGAATCATATGTACTTTCTAAGAGTATTTAGACATCACTGATTAATGTTGATTCCCAAAAGAGGGTTGATGTCAGGCAGGCGGCCGGTCGTAAAAACAATTAGCCACAACTATTCATAACATGTAAGGCAGACACTAGCTATAGCTGGGAAATTGCCAGGTAGAAGAAGAAGAAGATACTTAAAGATTTGAGTGTAGTCTCAGACAAAATTAGTTTAGACAAAATTTTTATAATTATTTTCCTAAGAAGGCATATATTATTTTTAAGTATTTATAATTGACAAACTCCTACTGATTTATATAGATTTTATATGATGATGATAATTAGGTTAACAGTTTGACACGTTGGAAGAAATATTTTTAGCATTCAGTAAAACTTAATATATCGTTTTGTAATTATAAATTATATTCAAGTTAAAACCACGCACGTTTTAAGTAATTAACTGATATTAATAAATAAGTAGGAGAAATAATTTATTCTATTAGAAGAAAACACGCTTCTGAATAAAATCTAAATAACAATTTAATTTTAAAAGTATACCTTTATATGTAGTATACATTAATATATATGTATATACTTTAAATATGTCCTAAAACATAACTGCTTTCATATTAAACAAATATACGTAATTTAATATATCAAAGCTGACCTTAACAATAATCGTTATACTAAATTTTGATAATAATGACCACACTCAAACAGATTAGACCTATTCAAGTATGACATTGAAGTATTTGAAAGCGCTCATCAATATGTACTAGAATGAAACTAATATTTTCGGATTACTACGCGTACCTATTTTATTTTATTAAAAAACTATTGTACTACTAAGATATACGAGAAAATCTCGTCTGCTCTTATCACGGTTGTTTCAAAGAAACCGAAACGTCTCGAGTATGTAGTATAAAATAATAAAAAAGCGTATGTAGTAATTGGAAAATATTAGTTTCATTTAAATGAATACTTGCGAGTCTTAGATCTCATTATGTACAAGTAAAGCCAAACTAAACTTATCAGCATTACATAGTAAATTATATTGATATATGTATTTTTAACGAGCGAAACTTGCATGTTTTACATTTTACAACAATATTATTGAATATTTATATCAAAATCAGATAAATATATATTCGTGAGATAAATCTTTTTTATTTAAATGAGTAGAAAGCTATGAACATTCTTTTGTTTTCATATCATCCGTAATAATCTTAAAAAAAAAGGAATTGTTCAAAAGAAAAGAAATGTACTGAAGCCAATTAGCGAGAGAAACTAAATAAAAATTATCGCTTTTTTTCAATTATATGAGAAGATTTTGAGCAAAATTTTGCATTGTATATTGTAGTAAAGTTAGCAAAAAATGTATATAAGAAAAATCAATGTTTTTGGCGAGTATTATGCCATACATTATATACAAAATTTATTATTTACAAGCTTTTTTTTATTAATTAATCAGTGTGAATTATTGTTCACTTATTGTTTTTGTATAAAAATATCAAAACTAAAGAATCAATCAAAATATTGTGAAAGTAAATTATAAACTACTAGTTTTTGCCCGCGACTTCGTCCGCGTTAATTTCGTCATTAGTAATATAGGTATAGCTGACCGGGCAAACTCTATTCCGTCTTCAATAACCCGGTATTGGTATTTATTAAATTCCTACTGTTTCAATCGAACAGAATGATTGACATATTAGTTAGTTGTCAAATCTAATGTAAAAAAAAAAACGTTTGTATGGGAAATAGAAAGGGCGTTTTTTTGGGTTTTCCCGGCAATTATTCCAATTTTTCTCACCTTTTAAACCTTCCCTGGACTTCCAGAAGACTATTTCAAGACTAAAATTAGCCAAATTGGTTCAGCCGTTCTCGAGTTTTAGCGAGACTAAGGAACAGCAATCCATTTTTATATATATAGAAGATTCAATTTTAAACCTATTACAGAAGATCTAAGATTTTCGCGAGTGTTCATTCAAATGAAACTAATATTTTCGGATTTACTAAACGATTTTTACCCGTAATCACGGTTACTGTAAAGTAGCCGAAACGTCGGGAGTATGTAGATTATAATCAAAAATAAAAATCGCTTAGTAAGTCCGAAAATATTAGTTTCATCTATTATAGAAGGGCAATTATATGCATTTAACATATTTTCTTTCATAGAACATGTCACATACCTAGTATTAGGTATTGACTGAGAAACGGGAAACGCTTCGTAAATAGTATGACGATGGAAACTTGTATTAAGCGTACTCATCATTACTTCTTCTTCTACCTGCCTTACATGTTGTGAATAGTTTTGGCTAATTGTTTTTACGACCGGCCGCCTGCCTGACATCAACCCTCTTTGGGAATGCATTAATCAGTGATGTCTAAATACTCTTAGAAAGTACATATGACTCGGAAAAATCACATTGGTACTTGCCCGGGCCAGGATCGAACCCTCGTATCGTACTCATCATTACTATACATACAATACTAGTATCGTATTCTATGTTTCATCATGTTTTCTAACAAGATGCGCCACATATAACACTTAAACCAGGTAATATATACGTAGGACTGGTTTGCGAGCGTCGTTCCGTAAATGGTATTTTTATTTTAGTCCCGTACACTTACGATAGGTCTTCTCACACTGCAAACTGAGAGTATTTAGTTTCTCATTTATGAAAATTCGCAAATAACGGTATTAAACTAGTTAATGACGATGATCAAACGAATTTATGGTAAGCGTGTAAATGACTTTTTTTTCGTGCTATGTACTTGTTAATTCATGAAAATTTTATTCATCTAACTACAAGAGATTCCTCAATAAAATAAATACAACTTAGTTGTAAGAGTGATAATAGCTTTTTTATTTCCTATGCTTTATACTGAACAAATCATGACAAAATTATTAAAATAACACTTGGAACGTGTCAACACTTTATTTATTTATACGGAAATTTTGTCAAAAATTAAGTGCCTATTTTTGTTACATAATTCGAATGAGAATCATGTACCGAGTATTCTCCTTAAATATTGATAGTAATTCACCAGTCACCCTGTATATGTAAATATTTCCCTTTAAACCCGTTTTTCTATTCCAAGTCTAATAAGGCCTTGGACTGACAGACAGACATTTTTTAAGCATATTATTTATTGCTTTATATCATTACAATAACGTTAGTTCTCGAGGGAATACAATTGTTTATGATTCCCAAAGAGACATAATTTGATTTTATGAATAGACTTGAATGATAAGAAAATTTATAGAAATAAAATATTCTCAGATATTATTATTGATAATATATTCTTGATCTTCTTCCTGGCAATTTCCCAGCTTTAGCCAGGGTCTGCCTTACATGTTGTGAATAGTTTTGGCTAAATGTGTTTACGACCCGCCGCCTGCCTGATATCAACAATCTTTTGGAATTTTTACTTAATATAAATATTATTATTTCATTTTTTTAAACAGAATACAGTAAAATGTATAATTAAGAAGAAATTATTAGCTATTATTATTACTAGAGATGATTTTTAATTCTTTTTATTCTTCTATAATATAATATATGACGATTACAATTTTTATTTAGATACAAACTACACAAGACAGTTGACAGATCGCATAATTTTAGTAAATTTTTTTTGTTAATGATCAACATAATTTATGGCATCCCATTTAAAGAAAAGCCTTTTTAGGATTTTATATTTTAAACGTATAAAAATAACTTCACCTTCGTAATTTTTATAAATTATTTTGGGCATCCACAAATATTTTACGTGAAAAATATTTGCTGTTTCTGTTTGTATGACAGAAATTTATAGAATAATTTAAACTTTTTTAATTTAAACTTTTTTGTATACATATTTTTGTTTATTGCCAGTCATAAATACATAGAGATTAAATAATCTGTGCGTTACTTAAATTTTTAATCATAATATTGATTTATATATATATTTTTAATACGAATCTTTAATTATAATGCCATTTATATATGTAGGTATATAACCTATTTAGTTTTTTTAGATCACTGGCCAAATTTTTTTTTTAACTATGACGCCGTAATTGGAATCACCGATGAAGAATATTATATAGTAATTAGTATTAATATCATAATACATTAAGGGTAATTAATAAATGTGATTTGAAACATTCAAACGAAATCTATTTATTGAAATTGTATGAAATTTTGGTTAACTGGAGATCTATTGACCTTATTAAATAATTTAAGAGAAAATCATATAAAAAATATGATATGTAAATAAAGATAGACAAAGTTTACATAAACGAAAGTTGCATTTATATGTTAAAGACACATTAATGTGCTAAACGAATAATTAACATAATAAATTTGAAAGTTGTCGAAATATTAATTAAATCATAAATATTCTTATTTAATATAGCATTGATTTGAAGAAATAATAATTATTTTTTATATGTATCATAAATTAAATCATACTCGTATCCAAGGTTGCTAGTATAAATTGCCGCGAAGCTAACGAGTAGAGTGACCGCAAAATCGTGTTTATTAGATAAGTCGATAACCCTATACTCTATAGTATATAAAATTATATAATATAAATATATACCTATATTAAAAAAAAAAGATTTTATACTTCATTTTTTCATGTTGGTAACATTGTAATAATTTTAAATCGATGTCCAATTTTATTGTTTTGACACCTTCACTTATAATATCTGAATATGCATAAATAGAATATATACACACTCAAAATTAATATATTCAAATATGTTCATTCACATATCCATTCTTGAATTTTAACTTATATAACAGTAAAAATATTAGTTTTATTAGAAAGTTCGTAATATATTTTTTCTAAAATGCAGTTCTTTTTATAAAATTATATATTAAATTTACTCACTTTTCAGCGCCTTCCCCTCGGGCGAGCATCTCTGGCCGTTCACAAGACATTCAACATAGTTCTTTACAAGACGTTTGCTATTAAACAAACCATCCACATCTAAATAATCATATCTCGAATCATATTTCGGCATGTTCCTCATAGCTTCTATATCCTGACCTACAACACACGCACAGACGCAAAGGCATAGCACAATCAACTGCATTTTTATTTATTAAACAATAATTTATTTGTATACAAATGTCACATTTCCCGCGCTTACAGACGAAGCGTGCGCGCGCACCGAGCGACTGTATAGTTGTATTTGAAATTAAACGTACGCATCGATGTAGAAAGGAGATAAGTCCTGAAATAATACGAATCCATCTCAAGGGCAGAACTAGGACGAATTACTGTGTTTTACACACATATACTATATACATATTTATTATTAATATTATATTATTAATATTTTTATTAGTATATTACAATTGGATAATTTTGTTTTAAAATTCATAGCCATTTCCTGGCTGTACCAGTTTAATGACAATGTTTAAAAAAGTTATTTCATAAAAAAAGTTGTCACCTTTGTTTTGAAATATGCAATCAAGTTAACATTGTAAATGTTTTTTTTTTAATTATTTAGATCGTAAAAAAATGTTTCATAATATTCAATACTTGTTTTAATTTATTTTCATTTAATTATGTAAAACAATTTGCAATAATTATTATTTCATAGAAAGCTCAGTTATTAGTACTCATTAGTGAACCGGCTTCATTAAAGTATAGAGAAAAATATGCATGAAATATTTATCGACAATAACTAAGATATTTATTAAGATACAAAATATATATATGTAAAAATTCAATTACACACGGCGATCTTTATACGTGATATACAGAACCGTCATAGTAATTATATATGTATATAGGAAGACCATTGTCTATGGTCAGCGGTACGGAACAGTTGGAAGTCGTTATTGAGACAATTATAACGTACGATTTAATTCTTAGCTCTGATCAGTTCTAAAAATTAATAAAAATGATTAAATAATAATACATTTTATAATAGTAAAAAATATTACTACAACTGACCTTTGCTTTTGAATTACTTAATTATATGGACGAACCTGCCAAAACCATTTGCTAGATTATTCTAGATTAAAAATAAACTTTGACAAGACTGACATGTACATACAAGTACATTCTATTTTTATTTAATCTTAAAGATTAAATACCTGGCTGAGTAATTAAAACAAGATTAACTAGAATTAACCGTTGGGAGCAATGGCTTGCTTGATTTGACAGATACATACATATGTTACTCATATTATTGGATCAAAAAACGCCATTTTGGTCTTAACTATGTTATTAAAGTTTCTCGTAACTTGTGATTATTTTTCTGTTAAGAGCCATTATTAAAACATTCAAATAGAGCAAAAGATCACCACTCTCATTTTTTGTATCGATTTTCATAAAAATCATGAGCAATTTTTTCGTATCGATTTTTCATATCGATGTTTTTGAAATTAGTTTGTTATAGTTATATGTTTAATTTATACGTCAACGGAAATGTATTAGTTCGAAAAAATTGGTTCGATCTAAGTATTTAATGCAACAGATTATATAAAAACTGATTATCAATAAATAATAAAGGAATTATTATATTTGTAACATGTATTTATATAGATTATCTATCACAACGGTGCGATGTTGAAACTATTTCTGTGTTAAGTTGTTTTTAATGATATGAGGCTCGGATTGCAATTTCTCCGCCATGTATTTAAATTTCGAAATATCTTTTTTTTATAGGCAGGTATTATTAATCTAGATTCTACATAATGAAGTAAACATAAAAAATAACGTTTGTATTTAATAAAAACAAGATGTTTTTATTTAATAACTATATATGGGAATTTGAATCGAAGTATGTTTGTGTCGTCAATCTAATAGTTTTCTGAAGTGATTTTAATTACAAATAATACCAAGGCATATTTTTTTATTTCCTATGTTTGCCTGAAGTTTTATTTCTTCTTTTTTTAATAAATAATCATAGTTTAACAAAACATTGAAATTTTTATTCGCTAGACAGTTAAAGTTACATAATAACGAATTATTTACAAGAACGTTTATGGTAATAAAAAAGTTTTAATTTAAATTTCTTATTCCGTAAAAGAATTGAAAAACCTTAAAATATTTAATTATCTTTTTATTACTAGGTAAGTAACTGAATTTATATAGAAGAATGTGAAATTTGTTTTATGTTTTAATTTTTTGTTATAATATATTATGACGCTAAGATTTTTTCTACTGTCAACCCTTAAGCTGTCAATTAAAAGTTACACGCATGTAGACACAAGTCACGTTGACCGTATGATTGATAAATACTTATAAATTATTAATAACAGTTTTGATTTACTTATTCTTAGTATTTTATGGATAAATAATAATTGAATATTAATTACAATATCTTTATAAACCGTTTGTTTTCTTGCTACGAAATTTTGGATAAACCGTCGAGAAAATTTTAGTCTTTTTTCATTTACTCTATATTTGGAGCTGTTTTCATTAGTATTTTAAAAGTATAGTAGAAGACAGACAACGGTTGTGAAAATTACATAAGTTATAAATAAGAATAAAAGAAAAACGGGGCACTTGTTTTGACAAATTGACGAGATATGTTTTATATTTTTTTTAAATACCTAAAAACCTATTTACTTTTTTTTTCTAAGCTTTGTAATGTAAATGACCTTTTATAGTCCTTACATAAATGTTGACAAATATTTCATTCCAATTACATATTATAATGTATAACGGTTTTAAAGTCATTTAAATTCTCCATACTTTAAAGCTACATACAATATCTTTCAAATTCTAAATTTTGCGTATCATAAAAAAATTGATAATTTGGAGACATATGAAAATGTGTTTTCATTGTATTCTTTATTAAGTTATAATCGTAGATGATACAAAATAAAATATTGTTTATAGATAACAGAAAAACAAAAAGTTTTCATTAGAATACAGATAATAAATAATTATTATAATATCGAAAATTTATTCAAGGATTATTAAATCAAGTTCAAAATACCTAACACGCCGTACGTCATTTCAACCGGTCTAATATGTTTTGCTATCTCAATTTTTTTACCCGAAAACCTTATAAATAATCTAAATTAAAAGAATAACTGCCTATAAAATTTATGACAGATATGCTTTACTAACTTGATAGAAATCTTAATATATTAAATACATAAATATCTTACCTTAATATACCTACTGAACTTCAAATAATATTTACAAAAGTGTAAAGAGAATCAAAGCTTACAATAATAATAGCTAGTAGGAATATTCTATTATCAATTAAAAAAAAAAAAATTATATATTATTATAATTAATATATATTTTCATCTATGACTTACTACGATCTGGATGAGGAAGATGTCCATCATAGAGCGAAAAGTCACAAGACGGAATTAACGCTAAGAAGAAGATATATTTTCATCTATATGTCTCTGTATTACTTTTTACTTAAAAACTTTAAGGTATTTCCATACGTAGTATCAGTTCCACGTTTCATATACCTATATTAATCATGTTTATATAACAGTACAATAACATGTGTCTAACATTTATATGTAAATAGTTATAAACCTTACTGACGCTACATTATATGTTTGTATAAGTGTGTGTGTGTGTGTGTGTGTGTGTGTGCGTATGTGGGTGTGTTACGCAATATAAACAAAAAAAAACAAATTTCAATTTACTAAATTTCTGTCGTTTATATCATGTTGGAAAAATTTAATAATTTTCTCCAAATTATAGTAAGTTGATACATACATAAGACAAAATCCGTTGGATAAATCTAGCGTTAATATCACAGGAAATATGAAGTGGCTTTTATTCCATTGTATTAATGGTCATTTTAGCGTGATACTGTTTGTAATCATATTAAAAAAACTCCATGGACGTAATATAACAATTTCCATAAACAATAGCAAACATAACAATTAACAATGCATTTTTCCTTCATCTGCTATGAAAACGTTAATACATAATAATCATTCCATAAAGATAATTAAAAAATTACATATTACGTAAATTGTTGGTGCGAAATCTTTTTGATTATAAGTATACAAATTATATTTAAATGGACTAATATTTTTGGATTACTACGCGTTATTTTACTGTTATAAGCTTCATACTTCCGACGCTTCGATTACTTATCAGCAACCGTGATAAAAGCAGATGAAATATCTCGTAGAAACCGAAAATATTACTTTCATTCAAATGAATACTCATGAAAGTCTTGGATCTCTTTACATCTTCTTCTACCTGGCAATTTCCCGTCTTTAGCCAGGGTCTGCCTTATATGTTGGGAATAGTTTTGGCTAATTGTTTTTACCACCGGCCGCCTGCCTGACATCAACCCTTTTTGGGAATAAATAAATTAGATCTCTTTACATATTTATTAATATCACTTTAAAAATATTTTTCAATACCATATGTTTTCCCTGGAACTCTTCTCCCAGTCAAAATATAGTTTTGCATAACTCTGAAGTTGATTACATAATTGAATAACCTTAAGAGTCAACTTCAAAATAAGTAACGACGGGGGGCGTCGTTTGTTTAAAACATGTAACAATGATAATGTAATTATATTTATTGCTTATAAATGAAGTTTTATTAAACTGCTCGTTTTATTTATCGACCGTAAAATCAATATATTTTATTAAAAGCTGGATTTAAAAGAGATATCTTTAAATGTAAATTAAGAAATTGATTGAGTCACTACATATAATATTAGATGTTTGACAAACATTATATAAAGTCTAGAAATATGATATGGATAGGAACTCAGGTGTTTCGTGAAATCTCAAAGCTTTTTTTATGATCTATTCAGTGAACCATAGAAAATATATTCAATATCTTATATTTTCAATAATTTAAGTAATAAATAACTTTAAACTATTCGTCTATTGATAATATTTAAATTATAAATGAAAATTTTTTGTGCAGGACGTCTAATAAAAGTACTCTACCTTTCCAGTGACGTAATTCAAAAATTGTGATCGCTCGAAACAGTTCCAGTTTTCTAATAATAATGTACTATTTCATTTGATTATTAAGTTTCTTTAGAAGTCTATCCTCTATATAGTAAATAAATAGACTTTAGTAACGAAAAAAATAATTTAGTAAAAAAATATTGCGAATATACTTCATATT